TAGCTGACTCTTTCACCACAAAAAATATTGCTCAGATTGTTGTGCTCTATTGCTCTGCTAATCACATGGACATAAATATAGAGAAACAAACAGCTATTTAAAACACATGTAAATAAGATGTTGACAACCTATTTTTTATCTTCCAAACTAGGTCATATTGAGTGGTAGATGGAAGACAGGAAGTGAAAATAAGTTGACAGATACACGTCTGAAAGCTATAATGTAGTGAAAACTTGGCAGAACAGAGCTGGAATGTTAATAAAGTGAAAATAAAAACAACATATTTAAAATGGGAGGTCTGCATTCTGCTTTGTGAATTGAACACTGTTATTAGGCGAGGTCAATTAGGAATTTGTATCTCTGCGCCTTTTCCTTAGTATGCAGAGTGGCAGCAAATGCAATGGTTGCAGATGTGTGGGACATAGGACCAGTACTAACAGAATATCATTGGCTGATATATGGTCACATGCATAGGTGTGTGCAGCCTATTGCATTAGAGTGTGCAAACAAAAGTACAAACACACACGTGTTCTTTGCATGCTCCTTTGCAGCTTCCCAGGTACCAAGGACTGTGGCAGCTATTTGAGGAATGTAAGTGGCAAGTGATGCTGCGCTCTGTATCGCTGAGCCAGCCACAGAGAATTATTTGTGATCTCTCTACTGGCTCAGTGACTAAAACACGGCATCGGCTGTTGCAGTTTCGGGGTTGCACTAGGGGTAATTAGGGTGTGCCCAGGCACACCTGGCATACCCTGTGTGCACGCCTATGGTCACATGGTTATATAAAGTTAGTGTTTTGTTTCTCCTTCTGTGTACAAACGTATTCAGAAATGCAATGGAGAGAGTTTATTTTTTGTTTTCAAATGGTAGTAAACAACAAGAGCAGTCCAGGAGCACCTTGATCTGTTTTGCACCACAGTGATGATTAAGATTAAGCATTTCAGAGAGAAATATGTAAAGAATTGTCTAAAATGTCTTTGTATGTAGCCTTAAGAGTACCCTTAACTAGAAACACCTGATCCCAGTAACTTTAAGGGTGTGTGCACAATCATTTGGCCATATACATGCAGTCCCCGAGTTACGAACAAGATAGGGACTCCAGCACAAATTGTTTTGTTTTTTTAGTTTTGGATAGCATAGGGAAGGATTTACCCTCTGTAAAGTTTGTTTTTTTACTGTGTGTGCCCCTGTTCAGAAGATTTAATCTCACTTTCTGTCCCTGTGACAATTGGATTTTGAAAATGTTGGGTTGTCGTGGAAACAAGGATTGGTGATAAAGCTTCAGTGGAGACACCTTTTTCCCATGATCACTCTTACAGGAGTGAATTTCCCTGCCTACTTGTAGATTTCCTTTCACTTCCTGTTGTCTTAAGAACAGGAAGTGAGATTAAATCTTTCTAATGAGGATACAGACAGCAGTAAAAACCTCACAGCGACCCAGAAGAAGAGGCGGGCACCCCTCATCTGCATGTCTAACAAGAACCAACTTCCTGTAATGTACGTATAGTACTACAAACCAGACCCAAAAAGGCGGGCACTCCTCATCAGCACGAGCGCGGTAGCATTACAACTACCCCTGCTGTACAGTAATAGCCTCCGTTTGTAAGTAGGAGTCGTATGAAAGTCAGATGTATGCAACCCAGGGACTGCCTGTAGTTTGAAGTTATTGGCACAGAAAGCATTGTTGTCCGATGATCAGCATGATGAGAAAGAAACAAGCATACAAGGTCAGCCATGGCTATGTATTTCTATTCTGACAAGTCTTATTTGAACACTATTGAAAAAACCTAACACTTTTCGGATTTTGGCACCCTTAGCTGTATGAGTTAGCCAATAAAGGGTATCACTTTTAATCTACATGTTCTGTTTTCATCATTTCATGGCCATCCCAATACAATGCTCCACTACTGCTAAAAAGTAAAAACATAAGAATATTGTGGTTGCTAAGTAAAACATTAGCTGTCAATTTCTCAGAACAAAAATCCCAAATTGGTTGCTATAGGTAACCCCTTTGCTTCCTTTTCCTTCAGTTCTCCACTTAATAACCTGGAACAGACCTTCGGGTTATTAACTTAATCTGTTGATGACCATAGTTGGGCTGACAAAACAGCAAGCTCCAGCGAATACCTGAAAGGTTAAACTATCGATGCAAGCGTGTATACACTCAAAGCCGCTTGAAATGAAATAATTGTTGTTTTACTCATTGAAGTATGAAAATTCTTTCAAATACAGTACGATTGTGTAAAAGCTGTTATCTTAAAAGGTGTTGTAGTCATGTTCCGCAATGTTATGTTTAATGGCTTAGGGCTGATTGACAGGTATAATTTCAACAAACCCATTTGCCTCGACTATTTTCCTACAATTGCGGATACCGTATTGCTGAGAAATCTGCCACCCTTGCCTGGTACATGCTGTCAATCTAGGTCTCGGGGAAAAATCTATCATCTCTAGAGTATACGTTTTTGAAGAGCTGTTATAGTTTTTATTAAACATCAGTGACAAATAAATGGGCAAATCTATAGGTCATTGTTCTGTTCAAATGTCGAAAGAAGTCCCAACACACCAAGAGACACTCTGTCACAGCTGTTGTTATATATGTTATGGAATCTAATAAAGGAAACGCTTCCAATGTAAGGATAGGCATAGATTTGAGATAGAAAATCAATACATTTTTATTTTCCAAGTTCAGTTGGATGGGGCAGGAGTACCTCCAGTGGTTGCACCGCACCTACAGACATAAGATTTCCCATTATAAGCCGTTTCTGGTGATGACCCTCTGATGCCTATGGAGAGTAGATATTTAAACTCTGCGCATTGTATTCCAATGCACCCAGGTGAATTTTGGGATTCACCCCTGTTCTGACGTAACCAGTCCATAGTCCCATTTTTACATTACCAATTCTTCCAAAAAATGGGGGCTTCTAATTCTGGAACTTTTTCAGCAAATTTAGCTTTATTGGAAAATGTGATCAAGTCATCTTCAGATGACATCTCTGGGCAATTCAAAGTGAGCCTATGTTGAAAATGCACAATAGTAGGTCATGCTCAGTAAGCACTGCATTTAAAAACAACCAGCAGATCTAGAGTATAGGGAGATTTTTTTTTGTAAAAGGTCACTATGGCCTCATACCCTCCTACGTTTTGGCACTTTAATGTGATGGTCATGCTCAGTAGGTTTGGAAGCTGAGAGAAGGTGGGTCTGAGTACAACCTTTACAAGATTTGCATATTATTTCATCTACCAAGATATGTGGCTCTTCCCAGTGTTTTGACATGCAGTTTTTTATTAAAAGTAAAGTTTGCGTGTGCATTCCTTCACCATACACTCTGTTTCAATTTGAGATAGGTTACTTTAACGATTGATATATACTATTTGTTTACATTGTGCCTCCTTTTGTACCTAGAAAACACATTAAATCTATTCTACAAAGGAATATGGTATGATCTTTGTTGTATTGTTTGACAGCTGTTCCAAAATCAGATGTGCTTAAAAGAAGCAACAGGTAGAAAGGGGCATGCCATATAGAGCCCTTAAACACTGTCCATTTTCCTACAGTTAAACATATACATTTTACTGCATGAAAATGCAATTTAAGTAGAATTCACATTAATTTCAGTGTCTTTTGTTTACACCTATGCACTGCACTTCATTTTTTTTACAAGAAGACTAAAAAATATGTCTAATTCACACTTCCACATGTATGTTACCATGTAAGTTTAAATGGACTCTTAAACAAAAACTTACAACATAAAAAAATTACATAAATGTATATCATTTATTTATTATTTAGTAGTTCATTATGATTTAATGATATACATTTAGATTTATATGTGCATAATAAATATATGAAGTACAGAGGCTGTATACGGAGCTTGCATTACATTATTTCTAAATAGGATCATCACTAACTAATTGCAATCAAGACTGTAAATACATAAATGTTATTAATATAGTAACATAGGATACATTGGACCATATCTATGTTTAAAGATGATGCCAGTCTGCATGTGTTAATCAGAATACCTACCATTGTATATTAAACCTAGCATGCACTAGCAAATGATTCACTCATTACTTCACACTAATTAAACTGGAAGTGACATTAGCCTGAAGAGACCAAAATCAGGTTTGAGGGACTTGGATTTCACGCTTTTGATGCCAATAAAAATCTGCAGGAAAATATTTGAACTGCACTGCAGAGGTGAGAGTGATATGTTAGATAAGCCCTACTGATTGAGATAACTAGCTACATAGCATATGGAGCATTGTGGTAACGATGATTTAATTAAAAAGTATGTTAATTAATGTAACCTAGGTATAGAACAGATTCCCAATACACAGATTTTTTATAGTACTAGCCTAATTAGTGATTCTATTAATAATCCTTAGTAAGGTAACATAATGTTATTATTGTTTGTTACTTTTACTTTCCTATTATTGGTTTTAAACGTTTGCATTTGTAGTAATTTTTAGACATTTTGAAAATATGCTTTAAAGGAGCTTTTATTTATTATTTCCAGTATACAAAGCAGTCAGAAAGAGCAATATTACTGATTAATGCTGAGTTCCAAATAAATTCGGCACTCCAAGTTATATTAGCCAAAGCTCTTTTATTCAACAAACCACAATGTCTATTCTTCTCACATGAATCCTCAGCCTCTAATTCATTTCACCCATCGGGCTTACTCTAGGAGTAGAGTAGGTTGTGCCTATACTGTTGAATTACAGACTGGTGGTAGGGTGGTGACGAGGACGTATTGCATATCAGCAGTGGAGAAAAGTCAGGTAACCAGGCTGTCCCTGCTGTATGGTGGAGCTGTGATTATCTAAGGGCTTAATGTACAGAAATAAAAATCATTTTGCAGGTAAAGCAGTACCCATGTATCTATTTAACTGTATATTTAAACTGTATATTTAAGTGTGTGCCTGGAGTTCAGCTTTAATTGTGAGGAATACCAGTACAATGTCGTAGAAAATAAACAAATCAGCCTTTGTCATAGGTGTTCATTTTTTTCTTGCAGAGTTCTGATGACCTCTTGGTTGCCTCTGCTGAGTGCCCCAGTGAAGATGATGAGGACATCGATCCGTGTGAGCAGAGCTCAGGTGGGTTAGGTTAGTCACATTTTTTATTCTTTTTTTCTTTAACATGTTTTACACCGCTCTATTGATGAGTGAATCAGTTTGAAAATAAGGCAAAATTAATTAATCACATTTTTTTTGGCCCTAAATATGTGCATGCAGATTTGTATAATTTGAGGAGACTCATATGATCCTTAAAGCCCTATTCCCCTATTTCTGAACTGCAAGATTATCATTCAAACAGATCCATATGCAAATATTTAGGTGAATCATTAAATAATAAAACCCTTGTTTTCCTGATTCTGTCATCAGTACTTCATTCATAGCAGAAGCTACTAGAATTTTCTTCTAGTGCTAAGTGGGTCTTTCCTCTGGGGTGTGACTTACCTTCTGGGGTGGATTTTTATCTTCAGGGGTAGAGCTTACTTGCAGGGATAGAGATCTCTGAACCTGGAGGCATCAAACCCCTTTTGGCAGAATGCCTCCTGGGCTCCAGAAGAGATTTTCTTTGAAGTGACCCATGCCATTTATTTTGGTAACCCATCTAACTGTACTAATAATGTGTAAAGGCTGTTGTAGACTCTTCATTGTTTCATGTCTTTTGTCACAGCTGCCTAGCAATCTCTATAAAGCAGTTGTAAAATTTCTGTGTAACATTCAAATTTACCTTTAAAAGTCTGTCTGGGTTCAGTCTGCCTGCATACAATAACATCATCCCTCCTTTCCCCATTGGCTGCAATAATCATTTTTATTTGTCAATGGTCAGTCAGAAAAGGAAATAGAGATGAAGGAAGCTAAAATAAAAGTTTGATGTGGCTTGAGTGGCCAGCACATAATTCTGACCTCAACCCTATTGAACAAATTTAGGATGAATTGGAATGCCGATGCTAAGCCAGGTCTTCTCATCCAGCATCAGTCTCTGCACTCACAAACACGCTGAATAGGCACAGATTCCCCCAGACACACTCCAAAGTCTTGTGAAAAGCCTTCCCAGAAGAGTAAGAGTAGGCTGTTATAGCCACAAAAGGAGGGGCCAACTTAATATTTTGATTTTGGAGTGGGATGTCCAACAAGCATATATAGGTGTAATGGTCAGGCGTTCACAAAATGTTGGCTATAAAGTATATACCCTCTGCTCTTATTGCCAAGTCAACCATTGCAATGTGCTATTTTATGAACTTACCAAACTGCTGCAATACAAAACACCATTTAATTTGTAACTTTTAAGCCTAAAAAGGAAGAATGATGACCCAGCTTTGTATTATTTGTTAATGCAAGTAACAATCTGAAAATATAAGCCTTTGGTATATTTTATTAACAACGTTGTAAAGATTTCCATGAAATGTGTCAAAAAAGTTGCAAAGATAAGTAGTATTTCAAGAGTGCAGTAAGAAGAGAGGAAAATAAAAATAAGTGAAAGACGAGGATATAAAACATTACAGCTCACCCAGATCTTGAAAATCAAGAAGACGAGGCGGTTTAAAGCATAAATCTTATTAGATGTTACTGGCTCAAGCTGTAGATTGCATAGTGCCTGCAGGATCTATGCACTGATCTCTGATTTCAAAAGTGCTTAAGCACCAACTTCAATTAAATAGTGGGTAATCAATTACAACAATCAAACATGATTATCGTAATACATTTATTTCAACACTTAGCCTCTGGTTTGAAAACATTGTCTGATGTAATAGAATTGTACTTGGTAATCCATAAAAAGAGACATGATGTATGTATAAATAAGAGACTGACTCTTTTATGTAATTAAGGGGGTGATGGTCTGATAGAGTGAAGAAAGGATGGGAAAGCCCAACTTGAAATTATGATAGGTGGAGGTTTCATTCAAAGAGGACCTGAACTCTGGTACCTTTGTCCAAAAATAGGCAGGCAAAGGACTAGTCACCGCTATTGTCTGTGGTCTCCCTGCAGCTGATCTTTCCTCCTTTCTATACCTTTCTATACTGCACTTGGGTGAGCTCACATTTTTTGCAAAATCCCTTTGATTCTCTTGTTCAGCTCTAGTTATATCTAACAAGTTTGGGGGTAGTTCCATGCACTCTGTTCAAAGCTTTTTTATGCTTTGAATAAAGTGAGGAAGTATTACAACTCACTTCCTTTCTCTCTCTGCCACAAAAACAACCAGACACAAACAACAATAAAATAACTTAACTACTACACGAATTCCAGCCATTTTTCTTTTTAGCTTTACACAAAATAGATAGGAGTTTTGATTTTTTTTATGGTTTTGATTTTTATATTTGACCATACTAGGCACATTTCTCTGACTTTGCCATTGGGCAAATGTTCACTGAGAAGTATGCTACAAAGAATGACTCTTACTATTTGTGTGAAAACAGTAGTCTCTCTGTTTTGCTGGCTCTAGGAAATGCTGCTTTTCACATTTTCTTCACAGTACCACCTGCAGGTAAAACCTGGTGTCATAGCTGCGACCATTAGGTATAGTTGCATTCCATAAGCACAAGTTATATTTTTTAAAGGGGACCTTTACCCCCTTTTACTAAAACTCACATCAGCATGCAGCTCTGCATGCTGATTTAAAATCATCTTACATCCATTAGGTAAACCAACTTGTTCTTCATTTACTTACAAATGGAGTTCATCTACTTCCCGGTCCACTTCTGGCAAAAATGGTGTAAGATGCATTGCATCTTAGGAAAGTTACATCAGCAGGGCATTCCTGGGAAATCTCATCTGTAATCTCATGAGATCTGAGGGAAAGGCATTTTCCTCCCCGGAAAAGATGTGCATGGTCACATGTCCTAGTCACATGTCTGTGCCAGAGTTCAAAGAAGTAAATGGAGAACTAGTAATCTGCCCTTAGTTAACATGGCCACTGTCAGAAGCCTAAGGGAAGAAAAGAGAAATAAGGTATGTAAAGAATACAAAGCCTACAATTATCTATAAGTATGTGTTTGTAGATTGTCATTACTAAACATTCCTAATGGTGTGTTTGTTGTTATTTTAAAGGAATGAGTAAATGTCCACTTTAAGTGGTCTTTTGTCCACCAGGAATGTGGAATCTGCAGAGGTTGATGATCCAGCTGTTTCTTCCAGGAAGGGTGCACTAAATACAGACGTGATAGGTTCCATTTCTTCTTAGAAAATCTCTTTAACAAGTAAAATATATTTTTTAATTATTATGCCTCATGTTGGCATATTATTCAAATTTCATTATTGGCATATACAATAGGCAAACCGTAAAATGCCAGTATTAAATCAAGCTGCGTGTGATTAAAACTCTGCCACATTTAGTAAAATATCAAAGTGCATATCCTTTACAGATGTAGCAAGCTTTATGACTCCCACTGGTGCATTGTAAAACGACAAGCTCAATGCTTGACTAGGTGAAAGCTGCATTAACAATGCATTAGGTTGCTTTGAAGAGCACCATGTTCTAATACCCTTTTCCTAATGCTGTAATGTGCCATTGGGTGCAATAACATTTCCCGCATCTGTATATTAAAACCAATAAGCAATGCAGGACAAAGGAAGGCAAGGGCTAGTGTAACCTCTTCATTGCCAGGTGCATTTGGATCTTATTATAGACTGAGCAATGCATCCACATACAGGACTTGCCTCAGTTCAATCAATTATTTAAAAGTAGACTCCAATTGTAACCTTGTTTTCCTTAAAGTTGATCTATGACACTTTGTTAGCTAACACACTGTATATTGCTGAACATTTCAATGCCGTTCAAATTTTTCATCCTTTTTCCCCATCTCAATGCTGTTGATCTTCTGCAGCCTCTTTCAATCCCTTTCCTGTCTTAATGCATGATCTCCATAGATCTATGTCATTGTCCAGGGTGAGCTTCTTTATGGTGACAAAGGTAGAAAAATAAAACTGGAACGGTGACATATAGTGTACATTAAAATCGTATGCCAGTGTGACACTGCCGAAATGCAATGGGAGACAATGACACAGCATTGTCACCCCGTAAAAAATAAGGCCCCTATCAGTTTTTCAGAAGGACCTGGTAGGATGCCATGCCATATGGGCACCCAGATCTAAACAGACACTTGACCTGACCTGATTGTGCCAGACATATCCGTTTACATCCGATTCCCCATAGATTGACATAGGGTCCAGTCCATTTATTTTAGTCTTGCCATGGAGGAAAAAATTGGACGGACACAAATGTACCGCTCTGAACAGGATGGGATCCATGCATGGATTTCCTCCTCATCAGACAATGTGAAATGATCCTTAGGGGTCTATTCACAAAGCTGCCGAGGGCAGCCGAGTGAATGACCGATCTGAAGTGAAGTGAGCCGAACACTGTTCGGCTATTTGCTGGGGATCACATAAACAGCTGAAATAAATTCAGTGCGTGTAGATCATTATCCTAAAGCGGCAGTTGCTGTCATCTGTTTCTTTTAAACAAAAATAGTTTTAAAACCCAAGCCGAATAAGTGATGCTTACTTTTGGTGACTCTGCTAATATTTAACAGTAAATTTGAGCTTTGTGCAACAAAAGAAGGTGATGACATGAGAGGCTGGTAGTATTTAACGCAGTTAAGCCTATTAGATGTTAATTCTTGTTTTTTGCATTTAGTTCCCTTTGGAGTCACAGTATGGTGGTCTTTTTAGATTCTTAATCCTGGGATAAAACAAGTGGTGTGTCAGTCTAATGACTAATGATCATTCTAATGACAGCTGAAGAGATTTTCATTATATTCCATGAAGGATTAATGTGTTTTCCCCGAAAAAAGATGACGCATTTAAAGTGAACATGTCAATATGCATTAGCTTCATAATAGTTAACGTTTATTATATATTTCTACATGTAAACAGTGCTGTTTTTACTAGATTGGTATAAAAAGAAACCCACAGTTGAAGTAAGTTTATGGGGTTCATTTATAAAAGTTCCACCCGGCGTATTCCTACACTTGCCAACGCCATCTAGGGGCACTAGTGCAGTGCAGCAAGTTTATAAATGATCCCCCCCAGTGTACATGAATAATATATAAAATAGAAATATAAGCAACACATAGCTATTTTAGTGC